TTGTTTTTAAAACTAATGGTATCATTGATTCATTGCAACAATCCATGACTTCACAATTTTTAATGTCTATATTTGTAACATCTTCGATCACATGTTTTATTTTTTCATTGTCAATACAAACACGATTGTCTTTTTCAACGTCCAATTCCGTTGGTTGTGTAATTGGTGTTTTTATTAATTCATTAATCTTGTTTTCGTTTTGGGGAACCATTTCAAAATAAGAAGATCTCAACAAGTAATTAATGTTGCAAAGTTTCGATATAAATTGTTGAGTTGTAATTAATTTGTTGGTAAAGTTATATGTTAAATTTTCTATAAGTGTATTTCTTGATACATTTTGTGATCTTTTTCTTTTAAACACTCCATCAAGCATGTTTTTAAATTGTTCATTTTCTTTTGTTTCTATTTTAATAATTTTATCAAGCCATTCAACTTCACTTGGATGTTTGTGTTCTAATCGTTTTGCAAATACAGAGTGAAAACTTTCACATATATTGTTTGTTCTTGTTTTACAACAATATTGGTTCCACATTTCTTTTGGAAAAACATTCCCAAGCCAAGTTTGTTCGTAATAGTTGTAAACTTTGAGTAACTCCAAATCTGTGCAATCTTTTTTCATGTTCTCGAAAACGCCACTAACATCTTCAACTGGCAAAAAAGCCAAACACATAAGAGATTTAACAATATTATAAAATTGTTGATCTTCTTTAAAACGGCTCGAAAGTCCCAAAGTGTTGACTTTTCTCCAAAGAGATTGACACAAGTGAAAATAGCACCCCTTTGTTATACAGCCAAAGTATTCAAGTGCATTTTGAACTGCCTTTTCAAAATCAATCATCACAACAACACCATTTTTGAATAAAACATACCCATTGTTATTTTTCCAGTAATCATTAATACAATTAAACATTTTTTGAATAATGATTCTGTTTTTCCAACGAGTAAAGCATGAACCAAAGTAAAATGTTCTCCATTTTTCAACATACAGTTTATAGTGTACATTTGATAAAAAATTTTGGGTGCAGTGCTAAATGTACCATCCATGAACAACAATTCAAAATCATTAATTTTGTTAACTTTATTTTTATTTACAAATACAGCAAAATCTGGATCTTCCTTAATTAAATAATCATTGTATAATGGGTGTGATTTAAAGTCACAATTGGTAAACATTTTTTGTCTTAATCTTCTAAATTCCCTTAAAGTTGTACTTTCTCTTTTACTGTACATAGAAAAATCTTTATCTTCAAGTGCTTTTGAACTTGAAACAAACCGCTTTTCAATTAGTGAAGCAGTTTCAATTAATCTTTCTTTTGCTTCGTTTTTTGCTTCTGCATCGTGAGATTGGTGTGAATGTATTTGATTGTATGAAGTGAAAATGTAAGATTTAAAAGTTGTAATATTATTAATTGGACCATCGAATTCAACTATTTTAATTGATACATCACAATGAATATCTTTAAACTTGTAATTTAAAAAAGAACGTCCAGTTCTATGAAACACAAAGTCATCAATTATTGGTATTTTTCTACCTGAAATTTTTGAATTCAACAATTTTATTTTTGTTAACAACTTCAGATAATTATTTGTATTTATATCATTTGTGACATTTTGTGTAAATGATGTTAGTGGAATATTAGTTAACTGAAGATGTTGCTCCGTTGATCCAATGTGTTGGTTTGGTAAGTTGTAAAAATGTGGTTGATATGGATAAAGTTGCATAAATGGTAGTTGTTGTTGATATTGTTGACAAATGGAATAATTGCATGGATATATTGGCATGAATGGTTGTTGAAATCTATAGCAAGGTAACATCAATAAATATATCAAATCAGTTGTATTTTTTTAAATAAATAACATGATTATCATCCACGTGGAATTAATTGTCCATAGAAAACAAAATTGTTAATCAAACCCGATTATTTATATGAAAATTAACTTAATAACAATTCGTTATTTCATTTTGATATTATTATTCGGGAATCAAATGTCCATCAAAAACACTAATATAAAAATAAAAACCCGATTTGTAGCATTGTTAATAACCAAATAATCACAAGAATCAATTGTCCAAATAAAACACAAAGGAATCAATTGTCCGGAATCAAATATCAGGCCACCATAATTATTATAAAAAACAATGATAATATTCATATAATACGTATAAATACACGTTGTGTAATTATTTGTTATATAAAAACTTAAATTAGTTTTGTAAACAACAATGTCTGTTTTTAATACTGAAGAAGAAATTCCTGTAATAATTATTGACAATGGGTCTTATATGGTTAAAGCTGGGTTCTCAAACTCAGAAAAAGAAAGTCCGGATTTTAAAACGGCTAATGTGGTGGCATTTGATCCTGGAGAAGAAAAAATGATATAGTTGGTAGTAAAACTGAATTTCTGGCAAGGGAAATGAATGTAGTTCGACCATTTGTAGATGGGAGACTTAATGATAAAAA